AATGCCCCCTCCCCTATTCCCCAGTGTCTTATGTCCATTGGTTAGGCTTATATGCATGCATACAAGTCCTTTGGTTGATCTCCTACCCCCCTACCTCCTGCCCCCCAACCCTCCCCGGCCTTCCCGCTGCAGTTTGACAATCTGTTTGAGGCAGCTCTGCCTCTGTATCTATTATACCATTTGCAACGGCATGGATGGAACTGGAGAGCATTATGCTAAGTGAAATAAGCCAGTCAATGAAGGAAAAATACCACATGATCTCACTCATTCATGGATAATAGAGACCATTATAAACTTTTGAACAATAATAGATTGCTCTTAATGAATATTTATGTAAAGACTTTTCATGTAGAACAATGTAACAGTACTTTGGGGGGGTGAAAACTAGGTACAGTGGGTGGAACTTCAGGGAGCAACTCTCAGTCAATAAAAGGAAGAACCTTCTGAGGATCAAAGTTTCCAGAAACAGGGAAGATGACTTTGTGAAGATCTGACTGTCCCAGAAAGCAGTCTAGCAAGGCACTCCACGAAAGGTTAATCAGATCAGTGTTTTTCAAACTGCTTTCTATGGCGGGTATCCCAGGGAGCCAGGGTGGGTCAAGGTGGGGAATGGTCGTTGTTCCAGAGGGTAGAAAGGAGGGAGACTAAGGAGGAACTGAACCCCTGATTTAACCGTAGCAGGTCAGTTCTTAGTTTTTAAGTTTTCTCTTTCTTGGGGTTCCACTAGAAATATGTAAGGCCTCTGCTGCTAAAATCAAATATTTAAAACCATTGGAGATGATGACTTTCTCACCAACTCATGTGGTGACACACCTCCTCACTCCGGAGCACAGGCAAGAAAAGTCCTAGCTTTGTCTGAGCTCAGTCACCTCTGAAGGGGACCATGTAAATGGTCCCCTCCTTTCCCTTAAAAAAAAAAAAATCAGCCTCAGTCTTTTGGTTAATTAGCTCTTGAATGCGTAAGGCCTGACAATTGGGTGGATACATAGCACTAACCTTTAAGCCTTTCCTCACATGCACCCTTCCTCCTGTTCTGCCTCCTCCATCACTCTCCACCTCTGACAGACAAGGCTTGCTCCTCCACCCAAGGGGAGAGAAGTTTCAGTCAGAACTCTAGCCCTGGGCATCTATCCTCTCCTGCTGCGGTGGGCCCTCCAGGAGACACTTGACCACTATAGGCCACTGGAGGGGAGCTCACCAGATAGGAGGATCCCTTCCTGCTCGCTAGGATTTCCCAGCTACCCAACACATGAGTTCCCTCCTCCCTACTCAGAACCTCATTACTACTATTTATTTAAACCAGGGCTTCTCAAACCAGGCTTATGTTTTTAGTTGCCATAAAAAGGTGAGCAGCTTTTTAAAAGTATAAACTTAGTTTTTTTTTAAAAAGTATAGACTCAGTTACTCCTCAGATCTCCTGAATCAGAATCTCCCAGGGAGGGATCTAGAAACCTGTGTTGTGACAAACTTCCCCAAGGGACCCCATTTGGGAACCTCTGGTCTATACTACTCACTTTAACATTGAGCCCACCTTATCTTGTATAATTACTGTATCCCCTTTTTCCTCAAAGTGAAGGGCCCTGTGTCACTTGGACGTGTGCCTCCATTTCCCATCAAGTCCAGATTGTAGCAGCTGACAATGAAATAAAGCATGAGTAACACCTGGAGTCCCCTTTACTTCCTTTACATCACCTGAGACTTTAAAAATATCCTATCTAATAAAGCGGTAATATGCAAATTGACCATCACTCCAAAACACAGAGATGGCTGCCCCCATGTGGACACAAGATGGCTGGCAGGGGAGGGCAGTTGTAGGCAATAAGGCCAGCAGGGGAGGGCAGTTGAGGGGCACCAGGCCTGCAAGGGAGGGCAGTTGGGGGTAACCAGGCCTGCAGGGGAGGGCAGTTAGGGGTGATCAGGCCAGCAGGAGAGGGCAGTTGGAGGTAACCAGGCCGGCAGGAGAGAGCAGTAAGGGGTGATCAGGCCGGCAGGCAGAGGCAGAGGCAGGAGCGATCAAGCAGGGAGCCAGCATTCCTGGAATGTGAGAGGGGTCCCAGATTGGAGAGGGTGCAGGCTGGGCTGAAGGACACACAACCCCCCACCCCACCGTGCATGAATTTTGTACACTGGGCCTTTAGTAAATATATTTTTTTAATTTCAGAGAGGAAGGGAAAGGGAGAGAGAAATAAAAACATCAATGATGAGAGAGAATCATTAATTGGCTCCCTCCTGCATGCACTCTATTAAGAATTGAGCCCGAAACCCAGATATATGCCCTGACAGAGAATCAAACTGTGACCTTCTGGTTCATGGGTCAGAACTCAACCACGGAGCCACACTGGCCAGGTGGAAAGAGCATTTCTGAAATGGAACTATACCAGAGAGCTGCCCAAGTCAGAAGGGGCTGCCTCTCCCCCCTCAGCTATTGTCACACTCACCAGAAGGAATTCAGGTGAGTGACAGAAAGCAGTGTTGAAGCAAAGCAAGTGAATTTATTAAAAATACACTTGGCATAAAGCACAAACGGGCAACTCAGCTAGTCTGAGTGCCTCACCTGGTGGGGGTTCAAGGGTTCTATACTTTTCTCCCTATAGATTTCAAGGTTCCCCTGCAAGATAGACTAGATTTCAAGGTTCCCTTTTTACATTGTTGTGGCTTTTCCCAGAATTTATGAGGGCATCTGCCAATATTATCTTGGCAAGTCTCAAAACTGCTGACTTCTTTGTTCAGTGGGTGAGATAAACTCTTCCTTTTTCCCCCTTCCCTTTCTCCTGCCCTAGCAGCTATTTGTCCTGGCTAACATTCCCCCCTCAAGTGATACCATCCAAATGCTTCTGGGGTTTTTATTATTTATCCCCCAGACTTCATCTGTCCTTGGGTTTAGCTGGCACAAATGGCATTAATTGGATCTTTGTTCTCTATTTTCTCAGGCCAAGATGATTTAAGCTATGTATTCTCTGTTTAGGGAGGAGAGCTATAAACCATTTGCTCTCAAGTGTCCTTGGTTGGGGAAGATAAGGTCTTGTGATTTACAAGCTGGCTGCAAGCTGCCCAAACTGTTTGGCCTTGTTTAATTTTCTTGTCTCTGTTTCTCCATTCCACTTGCCCAGGAATTTTCCTAGTTTCTTACTATCCTGCCACAGAATCCTATTGCCAGTGACCCCTGACAACAGGACCATATATTGAAATCACCTGAGGAAACAGACTCACCCTGAAACACATATGTCTTCAATGAGGTGGTGAAGTATGTCAAGGGAAAGCATCCCATCTGTTGCCAGACTATTGTAACTTATGAAGTACAAGTCAACCTCACTGGAGGCAAAGCGATGCTGATTTTGCCACATCAGGTGATTTAGCGGCTCCTCTAGAGCCACAGGGGCAGTGCTGTGTGGGCCAGGCAGCACAGGATAGATAATTCCACTTCTTCTTTCTGTGGAAAAAGCCCCAACCCCTGCAGGGTGTGGCAAGAGCCGACCTGAGGAAGAAGCTTTGCTCAATAGGAAATGAGCAATAACGGTGAAATGAGGAAGCCTGCTAGGCTTCAGCTTGATGGTTTTGAGTTACAAAATAAAAAGCATGTGTAAAAAGTGAACACAATAGTGGAAAATTGGAAACAACCCAGGTATCTATCAATATAAGAAACATCCAAACCTGAAGAGCATTTTTATGAGTTTGTTTGAGCCAAAATGATAACTTATGCTGGGAGCAAGATTTAAATGCTCCAGGGAATAACAGTTTTGCATCTTATTTTATGCATTTGAAATTAAGGAAGAAACATGGAGGTGGGAGAAAGCAAGGCAGGGATTGGATTACAGGATAGTTAACAAGATTATATGCTTTCTTGAGGATGGTTGCAATTTATTTCAAAGGTGCACTAGCCTAGATGCATAAAAACAATGGACAGGGCTTGCTTAAGGTAAAGATAAACCTTTTACTAAAGAAGTTATAGTCCTGGGGTGTGACTACCTGCCACAACCTGCCCAGTTAGGAATTTATGATCAGATCACCCTATGAGGTTACTTTCCAAAGAACTCCTTTTTTTGGTTCCTATATCCATCAAAAAGACATTTGTTAAATTGTGGAGTGTTTGTGCTGTGGCATATTGTGAAAAAGGAGGTAGACTTAGTGACCTGGAAATATCTCCTAAATACATGGTTAAGTGAGAAAAACAAGTTGCCAACTAGTAAGTATATTATAATTCATGATTTAAAATGATAGTAACACTCTTGAAGGATGATCACAAAGTAACTTGCCAGTGGAGAGGGAAATGAGGTTAAAGTGAGAGGGGAGGAGCTTAAGTGGGATATTTTTATTTTTTTAAAAAAATATATATTTTATTGATTTCTTACAGAGAGCAAGGGAGAGGGATAGAGAGTCAGAAACATCGATGAGAGAGGAGCATCGATCAGCTGCCTCCTGACACGCCCCACTGGGGATGTGCCCGCAGCCAAGGTACATGCCCTTGACCGGAATCGAACCCGCGACCCTTGAGTCCGCAGGCCGACGTTCCATCCACTGAGCCAAACCGGCCAGGGCAATATTTTTAAATTAAAAAAATAAAGTTCTGAATGATCTGAAGTTTTAACATGTAATTGTAATAAATCCTAATTTCCAGACACTGTTCTAAGTGTTTCAGACCTACTAACCTACTTAATACTCTCAATAAACCTATGGAAGTAGTTATCATTAATTTTCCCTATTTTATAGCCAAAGAAACAGAAGCACAGAGGACACACGGGTAATAAATGGAAGAGCTGAGATTTGAACTGAGGTCACCTGGCTCCAGAATTTGTGCACTAAACCTCCTCACTATTATGGATTATGTCTCTCAGTGAACTATGTTGGTCCATTGGATATTAACTGTAAATGTAATATGGTCCCAATTAAAAAAAAAACTATATGGGGGGGGGGAGTGGAATTTAGGTCTCTAACGCTATCTCTTTAAAACATTGATCCAAAATTTATAGGGAACTCACACAACTTAACAAAAGGAAGATAAACAATCCAATCAAAAAATGGGCAAAGGACCTAAATAG